TCACTTTTAAATCGCATAGTGCTTCTTTGTGTTTATTATATGTATTTTAATAAACACAAAGAACACAAGAACATTTTGATTGTTTCATTTCCTTTAAATATTTGAACTGTGAAATAAGTCCTGCCAAAAAACAGCAGGCCAAATGTATACATACAGTTTATAGTAATCAGATCACCAACACCTTGTTTCAGAAATTCAACTTTATCAGAATTTTATTATAAAACTTTTCATTATGAACCCCTCTGATGCCATCTTGCTTTTTCCTTGACTATCCCCACCTTGCAGATAATTTCTATCTTGAATTTTATGTTAAATTATTCATATGCTTTTTAAGTAGTTCTATTCTTATGTATTATTACCTGTTTTGGAAATTGTGCAAATGAAATTAATCCAATTATATTTTTCTATGGTCCTTGTTTTGTTCAGTCATATGTTTGTGAACTATCCATGCTGATGTGTATAATTGAAATTCTTTCATTTTAACTGTTATATCGTATTCCAGGGAATATTTTAATGTATCCATTCTAAAGCCATTAGATTTTTGAGTTATTTCCTTCAGTAAGGCTTTCTGTTTTATCATTATACTGCAGATGCTCTTAAAAAGCATTCATTGATTTTTTTTTTCATTTTTTGACACAATCAATCACTTCCTCCTTCCTGAAGAATGCTCTTCTTTGGGCTTTTGTAATACCACACCTTCCTGCTCTTAATCCTTACCTCACTTGGAGCTCCTTCCTGTTGTCTATGTTGGTCTTCCTAGCCAGTAAATGTTGGGATCCACCAAGATTCAATCTCCAGGCTAGACTATGTAGAACTGTTTGTTAAATATCATCTGTAAACGGAGGACTTCCACATTTTTATCACTAACCTCATCACCTCTCTTGATCCAGACCCATGTATCTGATTGCTCTTACTTGATGTCATCACTTGAATGTCTAAGAGGCATCTCAGACTACTGTGTGTAACAGATAACTCTTAATTTGTCCCTTAATAATGTTTTCCCCAGTTTCCCACCATTCATTATCCATTTACTCATTCATCCAGGCAAGCAACTAGGAGTTACCTTTACTTCTCCTCTTCCTTCCACCTAATATCAAATTCATCAGAAAGTTCTATTGACTCTAAGCTGGGCATCGTGGTGAAAGCCTGTGGTCCCAGCTACTTAGGAGAATCTCTTGAGCCCAAGAGTTGGATACCAGCCTTGTTGATATAGCAAGACCTTCATCTCTTAAAAAAAAAGAAAAAAAAAAAATCAAACAAACAAAAAGTCCTGTTGACTCTACATTCAAATTTATTTCTAGTCTGAGTACTTCTACTCATGTGTATCTCTAGTCTGATATTTCTACTCATGTGACCCTATTTATTCTACCACTGTTTCTTGCATGAACGAATGCAAAAACCTCCATGCTCATCCCCTACTATATCCTAATATACACAATAGCCAGAATACTCATGAATAATGTTAAATAAAATGTGTCATTCTCCTGCTTGAATCCTCTAGGGTCTGCCTCCCACATTTTGAATAATGAACCTACATGCCTACATGATCTGACTCCTATCCACTTCTCTCTTTTTTTTTTTTTTGAGATGGAGTCTCACTCTATTGCCCAGGCTGGAGTGCGGTGGCACAATCTCGGCTCACTGCAACCTCCGCCTCCCAGGTTCAAGCAATTCTCCTGCTGCAGCCTCCCCAGTAGCTGGAATTACAGGTGCATGACACCACGCCCTGCTAATTTTTTGTATTTTTAGTAGAGATGAGGTTTCACTGGGTTAGCCAAGATGGTCTTGATCTCCTGACCTTGTGATCTGCCTGCCTCAGCCTCCCAAAGTGCTTGAGTTTACAGGCGTGAGCCACCGCACCCGGCCTCCACCTCTCTTATATCAGCATCCAGCACTCTCCTTCTCCTAGTCACATTGGCCTTAGGTTCTTCCTTGAACAGACTAAGATGGTTCCCACCTCCAGTGCCTTTGTAATTATTCTTTCTCCCTAGAATATTTCCTGAGATCCTTATGTAGCCTATTCATTTATTTCCCTGCAGTCTCTGTTCAAATATCACAAGAGCTTCTATGTCCAGTTTTATATAAAATGGTACCCTTACCATCACCCTGCATTCCCTTACGTACTTTTGTTTTTCTTCATAGAACTTGTCTTCATGTAAAAATCTATCATTAATCCCACAGCCCTTGTGCAACCTGTATCTTCTGCTACAATAGTAGGTTCTATGAATGCAGGTATTCTGTTGTTCAAATCTACATCCGTAGTATGCCACTTGGCTTGTACTAGGAGTTTAACAGTTCTTGGCTCAGTAGTAAATAAATACACATTCCTTTGATTCTTCCTTGACTAAAGTGTTCATGCTTCACGTTCCAAAACACTTTTTCCAAGAAAACTTTTCAATAACCGTAATTTGAAGAATAGCAGAGGTATATATGTCCAGGATGCTACTCCTTAGGATATTTCCATATTTGAGTGTAAACATGAAACCAATTTCTTCTACTTCCTGTTTCCTCCCCACTGCTTTCTCTCTACTCTCCCCAGCCCGCCCCCAAAAATTTCTATGTGACAGTAAAAATATAAATATTCCCCCTTTTCCTGCATACTTAAATTTTGCCACATGTGTTATTTGAAGCCTGATTTTCAGTCACAATTGGAGAAATGGAGGCAAGAGTGACATTTCTGGTCTAATTTGCTTCCTTGGTCCATTTGAAGGCATCTCTTTCCTAATCTCATCACTGTATATTATGTATTTATCTCTCTAATTTATCTTAGAAGATTATAAAAAGTATAAAACCCCATATTTTGGTAGTACTGTTGTCATCATTGCCCTCCAGTTTGTTTAAGAGAAACTGAATTTGTTTAAGAAATAAGAATTTGTTTAGGACCAGATCAGAGGTGTCATAGATTCACTTAAATGATGTTGTTTAATTTCTAGGAGTTGAGGAGTGCTGAAACAATTGGTCGTACTATCATATCTCCAGCTATTTCTGGGAAGGATTTTGTGATAACTGAAGGTACATTGGTCTTTGAACCTGGCCAGAGAAGCACTGTATTGGATGTCATCCTAACGCCAGAGACAGGATCTTTAAATTCTTTTCCTAAACGCTTCCAGATTGTCCTTTTTGACCCAAAAGGTGGTGCCAGAATTGATAAAGTGTATGGTACTGCCAACATCACTCTTGTCTCAGACCCAGATTCGCAGGCCATTTGGGGGCTTGCAGATCAGCTGCATCAGCCCATGAATGATGATATTCTCAACAGAGTGCTCCATACCATTAGCATGAAAGTGGCCACAGAAAACACAGATGAACAACTCAGTGCCATGATGCATTTAATAGAAAAGGTAAGTTCTTGTGAATATTAGCACTTCATTTAGTGAAATTTTGTAAATTTAAAAACCCGAGTAAAACCAAAATTACATTCTCTTTTAACATTGGTTATTATGAAATTATGATAAAGTTAGATTTCTGAATATAGAAATAGAATGCATCATATCGAACACTGTCCTCTTGCTTGGATATGACTGATGCCTCTTTGGAAATCTCAGTCTTAGGCTTGGAGAATGACCTAGTGCAGTAGTAAAGATAGCCTAGTGCCTGAAAAAAAAGGCTGCAGAGGTTGGAAGCTGTAGGCAGTTGGCGATTCTCCAGAAACTGGCCAATTAACTTTGTAGTTTCAGCCTCAGTTTTTTTAGTCCATTAAGAAAAGGACTTAAACTAGATTATCTACATAGCCCTTCCAGTTTAAATGCCATGGAATAGGATTATCGCCCTCTGCTTGTTCTTTGGTCCTCGCGGGCACTGAAAACTCACAGAAAAGAAAAATTAAGAAATGACTAGATAATTTCAGACTTTCCATTTGGTTTAGACTTGTACAAAACAGATTTTATTTTAAACCTATTTACTTATACCTCTGCAAATGATGGAATTAAATGGAGATGTGAGAGCCTAAGAATATAAATTTTGAAAGATATCTATAAAGTTATTACTTTAAAAAAGCCTCCTTTAAAGGTTTACTTTGGGCTTTCTTATAAATCTATTTCCTATCAATATATTTATATAGAAGAATTGAATGTTTGAGTACATACACATGAGTGTATAATTACTACATCTCTCACATAGTCACCTTTAAATACTTTAGATGTTTACAATGGGGTTTTAGATGGTCGTGCACTTTCCATCTGGTGCTAGCTCTTAAAATACAATGCTCGAAGGATAGAAAAGAAAATTATAAAGTACAGAGGTAAAAAGAGCAGACCATGGCAAACATCTTATAAAGCAAAGGAAAGCAATTCCTATTTCATGCAGAGAAAATTCTAGCAATAAAACTCACTCCATAAAATATTATTACTTGAATTTTCTTATGGCCCAATGGCATAGAACAATGCCAAGTTGTTTTTGGTCAGGGAAAGAGAAAGAATGTACAGTAATTACATTTTAGGGAAGAAAACAGGACCTCACTTCATATGATTTAGGGAAAATATATGCAAATTCTGCTACTTTTTGTTCTCAATAAGTTATGTGTGTTAACCAAGTTATTATTGGTTAAGAATCAACACTTATTTCAGTAGAGTTGTCAGATAGTACATATTGACTGTTACTAGTACTATCATGAATAATACAATTGAATTATAAAAGTAGCTCCTATGGGAAAATATAATTAACTTTTTTTGAGTAACCATTAGCAAACAGTACAATTTTCTCATACATGAAGATACTTAAATAAATAACCTGGGAATACTTGGAGGAAAAAAATAAATTTTAAACGTTATAAAAATATTGTAATATTATAAAATATTGCCTGTAATCCCAGCACTTTGGGAGGCAGAGGTAGGTGGATCACTTGAGGTCAGGAGTTCAAGACCACCCTGGCCAACATGTGAAACCCTGTGTCTACTAAAAATACAAAAATTAGCCGGACGTGGTGGCACACGCCTGTAGTCCCAGCTACTGGGGAGGCTGAGGCAGGAGAATCCCTTGAACCCAGGAGGCGGTGGTTGCACTGAACCAAGATTGTGCCACTGCACTCCAGCCTGGGTGACAGAGCAAGACTCCATCTTAAAAAAAAAAAAAAAAATTGTAAAATCAAGTAAAAAACATCATTTGAATTTTTTTTTTTTTTTTTTTTTGAGAAGAGTCTCGCTCAGTTAGTTGCCCAGGCTGGAGTGCCATGGCGCGATCTCGGCTCACTGCAAGCTCCGCCTCCCGGGTTCATGCCATTCTCCTGCCTCAGCCTCCCGAGTAGCTGGGACTACAGGCGCCCGCCACCACGCCCGGCTAATTTTTTATATTTTTAGTAGAGACGGAGTTTCACTGTGTTAGCCAAGATAGTCTTGATCTCCTGACCTCGTGATCCGCCCGCCTCGGCCTCCCATAGTGGTGGGATTACAGGCGTGAGCCACCACACCCGGCCTGAATTCTTAAAAGAAAATGACTAATATTTGATTTCAGCTGAAGCCTTCTTTGCTCTGCTTATTTTCAAATCAAGTTTTTGTCACTACTTTTTAAAAAATAGAATGGTATAATGTACTCTCAAATTCCTTTTTTATATGTACACCAATACTGGAATCTATTGATTTAACTGACATTTAATAATTATAGAAATATATAATACATAGGTACATACAGAAAACATATAAAGAAAACAAAAATTCTACTAACATAGACTTCAGTAAATGGAAATTCATACCTTGTTCTGCAATAAGAAGACTCAATATATGGCCACAACAGTTTTCTGTAAATTAACCTATAAATGCATCATAATTCCTATCAGTATAGCAGTAGGTTGTGTTTGGGTTATTTTTACATTGATAAAATGATACTAAAGTTTACCTGGAAATGTAAACATGTGAAAATGGGCAGAACTTTCCTGAAAAAGAAGAAAAAGGAGAGGGACCTTACCCTAGCAGATATAAAAACGTATTTGAAATATGATGTTACTGTGATTAAAGGGGCACTGGTGCAGACATAAACATTCACATCAATGGAATAGAACAAAAAGTTCAAAAACTGAAGCATATATGAAAATTTTATATGTGATAAAGGTGCTATTTAAAAATCAATGGGTCGAAACTATTATTCAGCAAATAGTGTTGAGATGGCTGATGTAACCACTTGAAAGCAAAAAAAGAGCTGAACTTTATCCTAAACTCTACCCCAAAATAAATTCTAGAGAGATCATATATTTCAGTGTAAAACTGAAACCATGAAAGCAGCAGAAAACATGGATCAGTCATTTCATCGTTTTAGTTTAGAATGAGGAAGATCTTTCTAAAGCATCAGACAAAACCCAGAAGCCACAAAGGAAATGATTGATAACTTGACCACATACAGTTTAAATAAAATTTATCTTAGCATACACCAAAGCAAAGTGAAAAGACAGCTAATGAGTATGGGGAACATTTTTGCAAATACACGTGTGATGAGAATGTTTATTTCAGCATTACTTATTATAACAATAAAAACTGGGAAAAACGATAGCCATTATGAAGGCCCTGACTAAATGAATGCATAAAATGTATTTAAAAATGCAAGAAATACATATTTTATATTTTAAACATAGCAATAATAATGAGAATAATAAAACAAATACTGAAAATGTAGATTATCACATAAAGATAAGGTTGCAAAATTTACCAAATAAAAATAAGGAATGCTCAGTTAAGTTTGAATTTCAGATAAACAACAAATACATTTTTTAGCATAAGTATATTGCAGATACTTATTTGGGAAATACTTATACCAAAAAGTTACTGCTGCCTGTCTAAAATTCGAATAAGGTCATTTGTACTTTACCTGGCAAACCATTGATATATGCCATATGAAATTATATACACTCTAAAATAACCTCAAATTAAAAAGGACAGAATAGAACTTCCAAGTACTGGAAGGTACTTCATTCTATAAGATCTTATATTTTAAGTGAAATTGTTTTATGTTTTTAAATTTTATTTTCGCCCAGATTCTGAGTTCTTTGAAACAAAATCTATTCTATACAAGCATTTCTTTTAAAAAATCTCAATAAATCTGAGGAAATATTATTACACATGCTAGAAGTGGCACAAGTATTGTACTGAAAAAGAGCATCAGCTTTAAATGCCTCACTATAAAGACTTTCTATATGAAATCCAGCTGTGGGTTCAGGCAAATTTTTGCTATGACAGAATATTCTATCCCCTGATTTTCCCAGGCATAGTGAAATAAAAAACATTTTAGAAGTTCTCAGTCGCCTTAATAGCAAGAGCAGTCTAAAACCCCCCTGAATCTGATATGCTAACTTTGAATTTCGTCAGGTTTTGATTTTGTGGTTATCAAATCTTGGCAAAGCCCATCAGGAGGTGTTGACTCTAATTTTTTGTCTGAAACACTTGAAAGAGCACAGGAATCATTAGTTCTGTAAAAGTTTGATAGACTATCCCCTACCTCCAAAGACCTCCATCTTTGTCTTCTATCCTGACAACTTTTTAAGTTTTTTTCATGGTTGATTCAGGTCTTCTACTTGTTCGTAAGGCAATTTTAATAATGTTGGGAGTTCTTTTGTTGTTTGTGTAAACTGGCCTTGTGGAGCCAGCCTATTCTTTTCATCATATACTTTTTAATAATAGATACCTTATATTTCAATAATTAGTTTTTACATTTGATTTAGTTTGTTATCATACTAACAAGGATTTTGAGTTAACTTTGTACTTTACTGGCTGGTTTTGTGTTTCATACTCGAGGTAATTTTGACTGACTTGTCTGTGAACTGAGTCAATCCAGGTGGTTGCTTTTGGACAAGCAAGTGGAGAATGTTGCCAGGCAGTGTAGGGCGGCTGTCAGGAGCACCTCCGAGGCTTCATGGTCACCAATTGTGTGCGAACAAAAAGGACAAGTTAGTCGTCCTCCTTCTGCCTTAGTTCCCCTAACTGGAAACAAAACAAAGATAATAGGACCTTCCTCACAGGTTGTTGTGAAGATTAGTTGCTAGAAAGTGCCGAAAACTACAAGGTCCCTGTACTAACTGAGTGTTACAGAAATGGCCTTTTTGTTTCAGTTTTGTGTGCTTACTAAAAGAAAATTTCTCTCTTTTTTTTTTTTTTTAATATGAATGAAAGTGTGGGTAGCCATATAATCTCTGGATTACAACCTTTAATTCTTACAATTCTGCACATATTGCTTTGCTGACTTCTGACATTTCATTTTTAGAAGAGTCAGAAGTTAAAGTAAATTTTTGTTTTTCTGTTGGTAATTTTTTTCCTATATGGTTTCTGGTATGATTTTTTTTTACTCTTGAAATAATATTTTTTAAAATCACCAAGATAATATCTGGTGTTGTCTCTTTTTCTGATTTTCCCTAGTATAAAAGCAATCTCTACATTTTTAGATATGAATATTTCTTCAGCATATTAAGGAGCTGTGCTATTTTTTGCCTCTGCCTGCTCTTTTATATATAAAATTGTATCTTAGGGATTTATCAAGATTTGTCCTACTAGCCTGTTATCTTTTCTCTAAGTTCTGGGAGATTTTCTTGAGCTTGTTTCCATTTATCATATTCAGTTTGCTTGTTTCAGTATCCAGTGGTTGTGCTCTGTCTCCATTTGTAATTTTTGCATTGCTAAATTTTTATTCTGTGTCTTTTACATTTCCCTGTGGGTTATTCTCCACTCTGCCTTACTATCTGGGAGATGACCATTCTTATAAATGCCAGTCGTGAGCTCTACTGCAAGCTTGGAACTGTACTAGATGACAAGGCCATAAAAAAAAATGGGTGACATGATCCACTTTCACGACGAGCTTGAAACAGACAAATCATTTCTAGGTTGTCATAAGTTCACTAATAAAGGTACATGCAAGTTACAAAGAGAGTGAAAATGTAGGTTGGTAGATGGGGCATAGTGTAAGAATCATAGAGAAAGTGATGACTTTTAGAGTTTGAGAAAGTAATAGGGACTTATCAGAAGGTAATGGAGTAAGTGGCTTCACACCAATGCTTAAACAATAAAGATGTGGTCCCTGTTCATTCTGGATTTTTCCTCCTTTTTTTCCCCTGTCTCTCAAAAAAACAAATAACCCAGTGTTTTGGGTTTTTTTGTTTGTTTGTTTGTTTGTTTGTTTTTTAGTTGGAAGGGTTATACTTATTGAAAAAGGCAAAAGTGATCGGAGCTCTTAACTAATCTTGAAAAGGATTTTCTCACTTGGTGCTTTAAATATTTAGTGATTATGATAGCTTCTGTTTACTGAAAAAAATAATTTTGGCACTATTATAAACAAATATTCTTGAGGTATTTATTTCCTTATTTGTTGATCAAAAGAATAAGAATTCCTGGGATAGATGTAAAAGTGAGACTAATTTTAACTCATGATGTTAATTATTGTAGTTAAAATTAAGTAATTTATGCAGCCATTTAGGACTTTGTCTAATGATTAAGTAGAAAATATTTTGGTGATTATGCCTTTTCTTTATAGATGATTATGTCTTTTCAACTACAAATATATATATTTGAAATATAATTTTGATACCAATTTCTCTTAAATTTTCTTATGTTTATCCTTACTAATGTTAATAACTATTAATAAAGAACACACACATATATATAGCATATAATTTAAGAAATTTCTTTTTATAGATATATTTTTATACTTAGATTCTTTTTCCAGATAACTACTGAAGGAAAAAATCAAGCTTTCAGTGTTGCCAGCCGAACTCTTTTCTATGAGATTCTTTGTTCTCTTATTAACCCAAAGCGCAAGGACACTAGGGGATTCAGTCACTTTACTGAAGTGACTGAGAATTTTGCCTTTTCTCTGCTGACTAATGTTACTTGTGGCTCTCCTGGTGAAAAGTAAGTATCTTTTAATATATTAGCAGTACTTTTTATACATTTTTCACTGTTTACAAAGCAACATATAATGCAAAATGACATTTAGATGATGTAACTAAGAATGATACAGTCAATGCATTGTACCTCTTGGGCAGTTGAAGTTAATTATTTGAAGGAAACATAGCAGGTACATCAAAAAAATGAATGTATACTGTCAACAATATATTTCACTTATTTTGAAGTGTTTTTTGAAAATAACAAAGTCTTACTGTTTACTCTTATTTATTTAATGAGTGAAAGGTACATTCTGAATAGAAAAAAAAAGTAATTTCAACCTTTAGGAGTGTTTTGATGTGCTATTAACTGTGCTTCCCCCAATCACAAACAATTGTGATTGTTTTGTCCATTTGGAGACAGCTCTCAGAATGGTGTTGAACTTCAGACTAGTTGTTGGAAAGCTAGCAAAAGGAAAAGGAAAAAATAAAATGTGGCTCATGTTCATTATTAACTACATAATTAATTTTATAACTATATGTTAACATACCTCTCTATACTATAGGTACTATACTAATACCTCTATATTAACTATATATATATTTTTAGACAGAGTTTCGCTCTTGTCGCCCAGGCTGGAGTGCAGTGGCAGGGTCTCAGCTCACTTCAACCTCTGCCTCCTAGGCTTGGGTGATTCTCCCACCTCAACCTCCCTAATAGCTGGGACCAGAGGCATGCACCCCTATACCTGGCTAATTTTTGTATTTTTTGCAGAGACAGGATTTCACCATGTTGCTTAGGCTGTTCTTGAACTCCTGGGCTCAAGCGATCCACCTGTCTTGGCTTCTCAAAATGCTGGGATAACAAGCGTGAGCCACTGTGCCCAGACCAATGTTAGTTCCTAGGTCACAAGACATACGAAGTTCAAAGAGATAGTCAATCCAGATAGAAAAAAGTTATAAGAGAGACCAAGGGATAAAATAATAATAATACAAATGATATTAATTATACCTCTGCTATAGTCCTGACACTGATTTAAATTGAACAATATCAATTGCCTTTGTTAATAGGTAAAAACAGTGTAATGAAATTTCCATGTGGTTCAACCTAATCCTTGCTAAAAGTTGTGCATATTATTTTGTCCTTACAGAGATCGTTTTAAGTAGCTATTCAGGATTTGAGTGAGGGCTTTTAGTACCCCTATTTACAGATGTAGACACTAAGGCTAGAAATCTTACACAGCTTGCCAAGGATCACACAATTAGTCCATGGTGAGACCTGGACCCAATCTCGGACTTACTTGAGTCTACAGCCCCTGCTGGACAGCTGTGGTCAGCATAGATTGTAACCACCTACTTCATAGCAAAATCTGCCTTCTCCAACCCCATGGCTCTGAAGTGCCCTAGACTTTCATCCCAGATCAGTTCTAAGGTGTGACTTGAGGTAAACGTACAGAATCAACATATCCCTATACTCTACTCTTCCTTTAATTTTGATGAGCGGGTCCTGGAAATTGAGGTTTTCTTAATGTGCAAAATCAGAAAAGCCTCACAGGGGCCTTTTGAAAGGATTCTCCAATCCTCACCCCCGCTCCTAAACATCCATCTGAGAGCAATGATTAGCAGTTCGGCTCCTTAGTGCGTCTTATAAATGTCTCTAATGCTGTCTTCAGAAACCTCTGAAATGGATCATTTATTTGCTTCAAGTAAGTTTACACTCACTGAGGCCACAGTATGCATTTGTATGTTTGTGTAGTCAAGAATACCTGTCATTGTTTTCCCCTGTTGAACTATGTTCAACTATTTTGTTCAATTAAATCAAGCAGTTCATAGCTTTGCAATCCCCACAATCTCATTCTTCTTTTCTGTTTTCCCCGTATCTCCATAAGAACACCAGCATGTTAAAATCACCAGGTTGTCTTAGATGTGAACCATCTACCTTGCTGTGCACATTGAGTCCCATATCTGTGCCTTCAAAGGCCCAGTGAAAACTCAAGAGCATATAAGATATACAAAAAGAGTGGCCTTTTCTGTTTTGTTGACTACTGTATTCCCCAGGCCTAGAACAGTGTCTGATATGTGGTAGATTCTCAGTGGTTACAATAAAATGAGGGAATAGAATGAGTAAATGAATCAACATGTTTTCTGCCATGTGCTTCCACTAAATAGACTTACCTTTCCTTTTGAGTTGTCCAGGAAAAGGAAACAGCGTGTATAATGGCAGGCAGGCAAGAATTAGCATGGTACGTTTGGGGAGATCATCAGTTTTTTAAAGAATGAACATGGAGTAAGCTAGGTAGGGTGTGTGTGGGGGGTGGGGGGAGAGAGAGAGAGAGAGAGAAAGAGAGAGAGAGAGAATGAATCAAACTTTGGATTTTTTGAGAAGAGTGTTAAAGGTTAGAGAATAGGGCAAAGAAAGAAACAGGAAAACCACATAGAGGATTACTGTTCAGGTAAAAGAAGATGAGGACTGAAATTAAGGCAGGGACGTGAGAGGGTGGTACCTTGAAAATAATTAGGTGGTGGAATTAATATGAAGATGACGAATTGAACACAGAAAATAAGAGAGAGCTCAAGACTAGTTTGTTTACTCAGGAAGCCCTAAAGATGCTGAACATTCTGATATGCATTATTTATACATTGTCTTGAGCAATATCAAGGGTGTCTGCTGAGAGTTAAGCATTTGGGGAGTGAGCAAGGATATTGAGGAGAATGATGAAATCTAGAACAATCACTTGGAAGCCAAGTAAAAATAATGCCAGGTGGCACTGAGGGTCCAACTGAGGTTGGTCACTGTGAATTTGCAGTGGTGCCAATCTACATGTCAATGTGGGAGTTTTCCCCCCTCATACCAACCTAGGTATAAAGCAGACTGTGAGATTGATCAGGGTGAGTGCATTTGAGGGACATAGGTGTCACCGGTTAAGGTGTCAGGGAAATTATGGTTATCAGCAAATAGGAGGGGTCAGGAATTTCTCATGCTTGTGTCAAGGTTAGGTAGAGTCACTGCATGCGGTGGTGTTCTTAGTTTGCCAAGATAGCAGAGTCCCTGACTGGACTGACTCTGAGTAGATGACAAAGGGTGGGAGGGGAAAAGGGATGTGGAGTCATGTGTCTGAGGTTCACTGATCTCATCCACATTATGTCTGGTCAGGGTGTCTGCAGTGACACCTTTTAGGCTGAGATTCACCATTGTCTTCAGATTAAAAGATGAGATTTTGACAAGCTATGGTGGAGGTGGAGGTGAAGGTATGTGGGGTCCATGTAAATTGAGGTGTTTCAGTAGGAGGCATGGACAGAGGACCTAGAGCCCCAGGTGAATAAGTGGATTCAATTCAGATATTTGAAGGCACCAATTTGAACAGGATAGCTGAGGTTGCAGAGGAGATTTTTTTTAGAGAGGATGTATCACTACAGGAAAAAGTTGGCCCTTACTCTTTCTTTTCCTGACTCAGTTTAGAATTCTCTGCTCCATTTCCCACGTCTGGGGTCTTGACAAGATATCATGTAAATCTATGATGTAGTTACGCATACTCTACATCGATTGTGACATATATAACTTTTAACATTTAATGCATAAATCTTATTCTAATATTCTCTCAGCTTTTCCAGGCAGGTTTAAGATCTGATTTATCTATGTGTCTCCTGATTGTTTGCAAACATGATGGGTCAGCCAACAGGATGCATCTGATTCTCTGGGGGACTGGTTATAAATATAAATTCCTAGAACCCCTAATCCCCTCCCTGGGTAGGGATTCTGATTTAGTAAATCTGCAGTGTAATCTAGAAATCTGTACTTTAAAACAAATTTCCTAGTAATTTCAATGCACACTGAGGTTTAGAAGCAATTTCACTGAGCCCAGGTTCTTATTATGCCTAGTAGATCTTCAAAACAGACTTGTTAAGTGAAAAAAGATCACTGTTCAGTGCTGTTTCTCTTGTCCGTCAAATAAGATTATATTAGCCAGGCTCTGGTGGATTAGAAAAGCATGAAGTAAACTCTTGTTGAAAACATGGCTCTACATATATAAGGTTTATGCTGTTCTTAAATAAAGCAAAGGGCTTTAGCTCAGTGGGGGACATGCTTTTCTCAACCTCTTCCAGCAATGCTGATGTGACTGACATAGAAAAGCATACTTTATAGCCACAGATTTCATCTTTATAGCCACAGATTTCATCTTGATATCCATAAAACAGTTTTCAAAAACCCATGTTTTAGGTTACTAGGAGCATCAAGCCAGAGGATGCAGAAAATTCTATGCAAAAAATCATGACAACCACAAAAGAACTGAAGGCACATTCTATCTACTGCTTCTGGGTTTGTTGTGTTATTGTTATACATAAAGATTAGAACCCAATTGTAATGCACTTTAACAGATATAAGTGGATATATGTATTCAAATACATGCCATTTTTACAGACCCTTTGCTTTTCTGTTGTAGAGGCAAAACCATCCTTGATAGTTGCCCTTACTTGTCAATATTGGCTCTTCACTGGTATCCTCAGCAAATCAATGGACACAAGTTTGAAGGAAAGGAAGGAGATTACATTCGAATTCCAGAGAGGCTACTGGATATCCAGGATGCAGAAATAATGGCTGGGAAAAGTACATGTAAATTAGTCCAGTTTACAGAGTATAGCAGCCAACAGTGGTTTATAAGTGGAAACAATCTTCCTACCCTGAAAAATAAGGTAATCTATCATTTAAAACACTTATATGGTTGGAATGTGATTTATTTCTTTAGCAGGCACACTCGGAATGTGTTTGTTTAATCACAGTTTTGGTAAGTGCTACACATGGTGAACTAATATGAAATGTGTTCCATCTTTATGAACTATTTGTAGAAAGTTTAGTTTCTAAGTGAGCTGGAAATGTTTCCTTCATGTTTTGAGTAAAATACATATTATATATGTGAGGAAAGTAAAATATATATAGCTTTCACTAATATAATATGCTATTCTTTACTTTTAGTGAAGTCATCCAGTTAGAGTCAAAGTGAGTGTTGTCAGCTGAAGACTGCTGAATGACTAAGGCAGGTTAGAAAGGGCACAATGGAAAACCAATCGGACATCCTGCATGCCTAAATAAGCTAAATACTAACAGTGAGAGAAAACAAGTGACTGTAGCTACTAGAAAAATGAGCTCAAGCTCAGGGTAAGAGACTCAGTCATTACACCAATTGTAAAACATCATTATATGTTCTGTTGCTTTTAACATTCTAGGTATTATCTTTGAGTGTGAAAGGTCAGAGTTCACAACTCCTGACTAATGACAATGAGGTTCTCTACAGGATCCATGCTGCTGAGCCGAGAATTATCCCTCAGACATCTCTGTGTCTCCTTTGGAATCAGGCTGCTGCTAGGTACTTATTAATACATTTAAAAAATCAGAATTTGGTCCTTCCCCATTTGAGTACCACTGAGCCTAATGTTTTGTACTGAGCATAGATGGTGGCCCCAGATGACATTAGACTGGAAAATAACCTCCATAATAAATAAGAGGAAGCAACATAGGAAATGGTCTAGTATCGTTCTGATGGCAAATGCAGCCCAGCATTTCAATATGCATGTAGCACATTATTTACTTCTTCATTTGTACTACTTTCGTGGGATGTAGCATGAGTTCTGCCCAATTCTGATAACCTTGAAGTTATCAGTAAATTTACTGGGCAGGAAAGAAATTCCTTCTTTTACCATTTCCATCTGGGCTTGTGGTTCTGGAAGCTGATGCCTTGTGTTTAAGAGGAATCAGCAGAAATTTATAATTCTAGTCCACATGGCTTGGAGTTCATTTTGAGATTAAATCCATGGACACAAATGGAAAGGGGAGAATGATTCTTTCTTTGAATCTCCTCGGCCTCAGGCCTCAAGTTTTGAGCAGTTACAGTCACTAGGAGCTCAGTCAGTGCTGCAGGATCAGGCAGTGCTGGCCTAGAAGGGTCTAGGGTTCGTGTCAGCCACTTGATTTTGTTTATTACTGAATTTCAGCCACGCAAACTAAAATTCTAAATAGGTGTAATATAATAGCTTAGTTTGGTAACCAAGTGTCCTCAAAAACACTGAAATTTCTACTTTCTTTTAGAAAAATTCCACTTGAAATTTCTTCCTAGGTTTAAGACAGATCTTAAACCTAATACATAGATACTTTGAAATCTTCAATATATAATTAATAGTGAATGTTTCAAGCTGCATCTGGAGTTTGGGTCAGGAAGTTTTAGGTCCTTAAAAAAGTAAAGAAACTAAGAGGCATTAGAAGGGAAGAGGCTCAAGCGATAGTCACTGAGGAAGGCTCAGATGGCTTGGCATTAGATGCAATGTTTGCTAAAATCGTGACATGGTTTTTCTGCTAAATTAGCCAGAGTTCATAAAGGAAACACTTGAAAGAAGCTTAGAAAACATATACATAAGTCACTGCAAAGTAGAAAAAAATTGAGGAAGAAATCTTAGAAAACCATACAAATAATTAATATGGTTCAAAATACAAGGACTTGTGGGGAAAAAAAAAAAGAAGAGTAAACACATATCACAGCCATGTTGTTCTTGTGGGCATTTTGAATGCTAGAGAAGAGTGCCTTCTATTGAACATGTAGGGTAGGTTTGCTAGATTAGGTAGGAATTTGTACTGCCCTGTTGAGAGGACAAGCTCCTTTGGTACCAACAATGCCTTCAAAGCTTTGGTTGGTATTTAGGCTGCTTCTTAAGACATCCTGTGGAATCTGTTATGTCATGTTCTGAACAAGATGTTCCTTTCACTGTTTCTTCTTGAAAATGTGGTTTACTTAAGTATTGAGTAAAGAACACTTAAGTTCAGTAAGCTATTTTTTCTTTCAAAGCCATCTCAACACCTTAAGTATTGATGAAAGAGGAAAAATGACTATTGTGTTTTTGCCCTAGCTGGTTGTCTGACAGTCAATTTTGCAAAGTGGTTGAGGAAACTGCAGACTATGTGGAATGTGCCTGTTCACACATGTCTGTGTATGCTGTCTATGCTCAGACTGACAACTTGTCTTCATACAATGAAGCCTTCTTCACCTCTGGATTTATATGTATCTCAGGTCAGTGACAGTATTTTTGAATCAGTAGTTATAAATGTTTATGAAAATGGAAATCTGTTTTTCCATAGTCCTTTTATATATGCAGGATGCAAACATACCATAATTCCATCAGCACTAGGATAAAGCAAACTTTTTCATTGTCTTATTCATTAATTCATTCAACAAATATTTATGGAGGGCCATCTCTGTACTGAGGATACAGTAAAGAATGAGATGCAGTTTCACCCCTAAGGAGTATGTACTACAGTGTAGAATAGAAGCTAGATAATAGGTAAGGAAAGGCTATAGTTTACAATACCATGGTTTAGAGGGCAGGTTCTGCAGTTACAATGTGATGACTATGTGAGATATTAAGAAATACATACAAAGAATTTTCAAAAAAATACATGCAAAGATTTTTGTATTTTTTATTGTTTTTAAAGCTACCCCATGGGAAGATTTTGTATTCTACAACTTAAGAGTTGTGAATATGCCAACCACTGTGTTAAAAAATAAATCATCTTTCACATTCCACATCTAGGCCTCATATTTGGCAGTAAGAAGAAATTAAATTGTATTAATGTCTGTCAAGCTATTTACCTACAGCTTAACAATAGAAGTGTTATTATTTGCTGTATTAATGATACGGTTGGACATCTGAGAATTCCTTAAACTATAATTCTATGCCCCACCCTCACCCATTCTGTGCCCTGATACTCTTCTTACAGCCCCACAACTTTTTCTATGAACAAGGTGCTATATAGTGAATTAAATTAAGAGCTGGGTATAGGATAATGGTTAAAAAATGCAAACTTTGGAGCCAGACTGCTTGGGTTCAAATCCTAATTATGCTGTTAGCTAGTTGTGGGACCTGGATCAAATTACTTAGTTTCTCTGTACTTCATTTTTCCCACCCATGATATTTGATTACAAATTGTATCTATGAAACAGGGTGGTAAATATATGAAGTGAGACTTTTCTAACATGCTGCTTTAGTGATATTTTGTCCGTAAATGTGATTATTATTGAATGCATATCTCTTGTATTTGGTATGCAAACAGTCTCTAATAGTCATTATCTTTTAGGAAGTTTTTCTGGAGATAGAATCAAGTAATTAATTAATATTCTTTGTTCTGGTTGCCAGTCTTTCCAATATAACTTTATTTTATATAGTTATAAATTTTCTTTAATGTGTTTTAATTCTGAACCTAACTTCAATTCAATAGCAAGTTAATAACTTCTTATTCTTAATATCTTTCATAAAGGATGGCATTTCTTACTTAATAGAATCTTCTAGGTCCATATAGTTCCAAAATCAGATGGAGACATCCTATTTTACTTTTATGCTAATATATTTAAAGAGCAAATCAATTTTATAGAATGATGAAATAATATCAAAAGGTACAATGTTGAAATACAATCTAGATGTCACTTTAAATGTTTTCATCGAGACATAGGTTTATGTGCTGCTATGACCCACAAAATCCCTTGCTTGTTCCCAAAGACTGAATATCAAAAAAAAAAGGAGTTTTAAAAACTGAAGAGAGAATGTTATCCAGATTGTATAGAAAACTAGTAGGACTGACTATAATGGGTTTCCTGGAGAATCGTTAGTAAATACCTGTGTATATTTTCTGCAACTTACTCTAGAAAAGGCTACATGGATTTGCTCATGTATTTGAGAATCAACACCTAAATGTTAGTATCTGCTTTTATCACTTTTGACTTGGCGTCATATTTGAAATTATTTTATTCTCTCTGTCCATGTCATATTGTTATGTAATTGCATGTTCTGTCGATAAGGAGACACAAAGTCTTGTCTTTGTACCTCAGTTTCAGCTCATCCCTCAGAGCTGGATGAATTCCCATCCCTCTGATGGATCCCCAGGAACCAGAAAAGAGAATTTTATATATCTTATATACATATTCTTTATATATCTTATATACATATTCTATAATTTAGGTCAGGACACATCGAATATCCCTCTGAACTTGATAGCAGTTTGCTAGTACTTTTCCTGAAATACAGCAATATACAATTAGGAATTTAACCTTTTTTTAAAATACAGAGTAGATCACAATGTTTCGGTCCCAATTCTAGTTTACAGTTCTATTTACTATACTAGAGCAAAACTACCCTAGTGTGTGAAATAGTTGTAAAGGCCAAAAAGCTTACCACTTCTCAGCTTAGAAAGATGAAAGGAAAGGGCATATACATGTGACTTAAAATTGTAAACTAGTTTGCCAACTATCAGAAAATTAAACTAAGATCATTCCTTGAGGTTAAAATGAAAGGACAAATCATCCATCGCTGTGTGCATTAGAGTGCAGCATTATGGAACTCAACACAAAGATGGCTTGGTAGAAGTATAACTTAAAATAATCAGATAATAAAGCCATAATTTTGTAGTATAATTATTAAGAAACTTCAGCATGGTTTGAGATACACATCATTGCTATTTTAAGGATGTCAAGGAAGCCTACTCTGCCTTCCCATAACTCTTTTGATATTGTGCTATCAAAGATAAGACTATCGTTAGGCTACTGCATTGAGTTTGACTCTGAATACAACTCTTATAGTCTTGTAATCTTTTTTTTTTTTTTTTTGAGATGGAGCACCACCATACTTGGCAAATTTTTGTATTTTTTATAGAGATAGGGTTTCGCCATGCGGCCCAGGCTGGTCTCAACTCCTGGACTCAAGCGATCTTTCCACCTCACCCTGCCAAAGTGCTGGGATTACAAGTGTCAACCACCATGCCTGGCCAATATGGACATATTATTTGGGATGAGTTTGGCTACAAGTAACAGATGACAGCTCAAAGATATCTTAAACAAACGGATTTAATTCCCAGATTGATTAATTCAGTACCTTAATGGTGTTGTCAGGAGCCCAGGCTCTTCTCTTTTTATCCTCAAAGATTTTTTTCCCTCAGCTTTGTCTGTACATGATCTTAAGTTGGCTGTAGCAACTCCAGGCATCACACTAGCAATGTCCAGGCTTGCCAAGGGAAAAGCTCTTATTTGGGTCCAGTTTTAACAGCAGTGAAAACTTTCCTAAAAGCCACCCAGAATGTTTTCCCTTGCTTCTTTTTGATCAGAATTATATTCTGTGCCCTTTCATAACTAGTCTTTGTCTTGGAGAAGATCCAGATAGAAATAGAGAGACAAGCACTGAAAGAGCAGCAAGGGTTTATCTTTCTGAACATTGCCCAGCAGTCCCTGACATATACTAGTTCATTGGTTGTTTTGTAGAGATGGTGGGAGTGAGGCAAGTGGGCACAGGAGTTCCTACTATTTTGCTCAGGCTGGTCTCTAAAACGTCTGGCCTCAAGCGATCCTCCTGCCTGAATCTCCCAAAGTGCTTGAATTACAGCTGTGAGTCACCACACCAGCCTGACATACAATAGTTTTAATAGACGTTTGTTAAGTAAATAAATATACAGTATTGATCTGATGATATCCTCCAATAATGAGATGTATATTTGCTATGTGTCAAGTTCATACTTTCAAGTGCCATACCATATTATTGTAGCCATTTTTAATAAAAATTATTTTATTTATTTTGAGATGAAGTCTCTCTCTGTTGCCCAGGCTGGAGTGCAGTGGTGTGGTCTCAGCTCACTGCAACTTCTGCCTTCTGGGCTCAAGCGAGTCTCCTGCCTCAGCCCCCTGGGTAGCTGGGATTACAGGCACGTGCCACCAAGCCTGGATAATTTAAAAAAATATTTTAAAATATGGCATTTTTTTCTTGCTTTCACTTAGGATAGTTTAACACAACACTCTCCAACAGAGTTTTCCAGGATAATGGGGATATTTTACACTGTCTAGTATGGTAGCCACTAGCCACCAGTGGTGCCTGAGCCCTTGAAATATGGCTTATACAATTGGAAAGCTGAATTTTTAATTCGATTTCATTTTAATTAATGAAAATTTAAATTTAAGGCTGGGTGCTGTGGCTCATGCCTTTAATCTCAGCACTCTTGGGGCCAGGAGGTTCGAAGACCAGCCTGGGCAACATAGTGAAGACCCTGTCTCTACAAAAAGTAAAAAAAAAAAAAAAGCCAAGCATAGATGGCACGTGGCTGTAGTCCTAGCTACTCAGGTGCTGAGATAGGGAGGATTGCTTGAGCCTCAGGAGTTCAAGCTGCAGTGAGCTATGACCATGCCACTGCACTCAGCCTGGTGACTGAGCAAGACCTGTCTCTTAAAACATAATAATAGATCAAGTAATGAAAACTATTAAACTTAAATGCCCGCCTGTGACTAGTGGCATGGTACTTTGACACGCACGTTTAAGTTTCAACCACCCTGTTATCTGGAGAGGTGACATCTCCTGAAACCTCATCCCTCTTAGAATACCCTTTCCCCCAATACCCACGAACTTTTTATCTGGAAACTCTTATGCTGACTTTATGTTCCATCTAGAAATCTTTGTTTTTTTTTTTGAACAGAGGTTTCACTCTTGTTGCCCAGGCTGGAGTACAATGGTCCGATCTCAGTTCATTGTAACCTCCACCTCCGGAATTCAAGCACTTCTCCTGCCTCAGCTTCTTGAGTAGCTGGGATTACAGGTGCCCGCCACGATGCCCAGCTAATGTTTGTATTTTTAGTAGAGGTAGGGTTTTGTGTCTTTAGCTTATTAGCAGCAGTAACGAAAAGGCATTATGCTGAGGACAGAGGGATTATGCTGATGAGAAACATGGGAATCAATAGTGATAAGCACCAAAAAGTAGAAAAAGTGACAAGCACAGCAGTTAGGTTGGTGCAAAAGTAACTGCAGTTTTTGAAATTAAAATTAATTAAAATTAGTTGCCAAGGCCGCACGCGGTGGCTCAAGCCTGTAATCCCAGCACTTTGGGAGGCCAAGACGGGTGGATCACGCAGCACTTTGGGAGGTCAGGAGTTCAAGACCAGCCTGGGCAACATAGTGAGACCCTGTCTCTACAAAAAGAAAAAAAAAAAAAAAAAAGCCAAGCATGATGGCACGTGCTGTAGTCCTAGCTACTCAGGTGGCTGAGATAGGAGGATTGCTTGAGCTCAGGAGTTCA